AGGCGGGCGAACCGCTGCCGGACGCCGTGCGTTACTTGGCCGGCCTGTTGCGTGTGAAGCACGTGCTGGTCTACCCACCGAAGGACGGCCAGCCCGGCGATATCGTCCTCGCCGGACCCGCTGAGGGTTGGAAGGTCGATGCGTTGGGCAACACCGTCGGCATGACGACGGGCCGCCCGGTCCTGATGCTCGACGACCTCGTCGTCCCGCTCCGTACCGCCGAGACCTCCAACGGCCCCGGCGTAAGCTGTTCGATCGATCCGACCAAGGAAGGCTTGGCCCGCGCTCAGAAGGTGTCACGCACGCTGACGGCGGACCAAGGCCCGATGACGGCCGCCCGCCGGCTAGAGCAGGCCTTCGGTCGCCAAGTGGTGACCGTGAACGGCGTCCCCGCTTCGAGCCACTTCGCGCGTTCGCTCGTGGCCGCCGACTTCCGCATGAAGCGGCTCGCCATGGGCATGGAGCCTTCGCAAGTCGCGGGCCTGCCGAGCTATCTCGAAACGCTCAACACCCGCGCCGTGAAGGCGAACCTGCTGCCGCGTTGGTGGCTGGCCGCCGACTACGAGCCGCTGGCGCGCGACGCCGAGGGCCTCGCCTGGGAGATCCGCGGCCAGGGCGTGAAGTGCCAAGCCGAAGAGGACTTCGTCAACGACGCCGGCGAAGTGAAGCGGGGCGGCGGGCGCGGTGACACCGACGCCGGTAAGTGGGCCGCGACGATGACCGAGAAGTTCGACGAACTCGCCGACCACGACTCGGCCTTCGGCCACGTCCGCAACGCGTTCGACCTGTCGGTCGCGGCGGCGATCATCGCGATGCACGAGCTGACCGACGTCGCCAAGCTCGACACGCCGCATCTCTCGGCCGAGTACCAGCCCGAGGAGTACAACGTGCCGAAGTACGTCGCGACACAGGCGACGTTCCTCAAGCGTGGCGGTAAGTGGGTCGTCACCGCCTCGGGCGGCGTGCAGCTCTTCCCGTGGCAGATCGCCGACGAGCAAGAAGAAGTCGCGAACCTCGGCAAGCTTCGCACCGAGACCGCTTCGAAAGCGAACAAGGCTTGGTGGTGGCAGTGAGCCGTCGGCCCCCGACCTCGATGTAAAGACAAAAGAGCCCCGGCTGGATTCAGCCGGGGCTCTTTTCAATTGGCAATGAGAGTACCGCGTCGCCTACGCCGCCTTGGCGAACGGGTTGAGCCGCTTCACCAGCGCCGACAAACCGTGGCGGCGCTCGGAACGGCGCACGGCGGCTTCGTCGACGACGTAGTTGAGTTGCAGCGCGCGGCGTACGCCCTCGAACGGCGCGTGGCCGTGCCAGGCGGTCGGGCCGTTCTTGAAGGCCACCAGCGTGCCGAACTGCGGCGACACCTCGGCGAACGCGCTGTCGAGCGACTCGCCGTTGCGGAGCAGCTTGAGGCGGCCGCCGTCGGCGTTCCACGGCTCGTTGAGGTACAGCAGGACGGTGATCAGTTTCGTCTTGCTGTCGGTGTGGATCTGTCCGTCCTTCATCCGGCAACGGCCGCGGACGGTGAGCGTCGTGGGCCGCTCGTTGAGGTCCATGCGGAACCGCTCGGCGAAGACCTTGCGGACCTCTTCACCTTGCAACTCGGCGCAGAGCTGATTGAACAGCGGTCCGCCGTGTGTGGCGCTGAGCGGGAAGCTGCCGCCCTTCTTGACCTTCGGATAGTCGCCGAGCACCGCGTCGATCCGCGCGGGGTTCACCACGTCCGAGGCAATGAAGTGCTCGAACGGCTCGGTCTCGATAGGGGCGTTGCGCAGCGCAGTGAGATTGAGGAGCGACATGGTAAGGGGCCTGGAATCGAAACGGCGTTGGCGCTACGAAGCCATCGCGGCGGGGGCATGAGGGAAAGCGTTCGCGGTGCGGTCGAGCACGCGCTGGCAGGCGGCCCAGGCGTCATCGACGGTGATCTCACGCATCGCCGAGTTGTCAGCGTTGCGTCGGTCACGACGACCGCCGTCGTGGAATCGCTTGAGCACCGCCTCGTGGGGCAAGCCATAGGGCCCGCAGGCGTCGGGGTGCGTGGCGCCGAAGAGCCCCACCGTGGGCGTGCCGACGGCGACCGCCAGGTGCATCGGCCCCGTGTCACTGCTCAGCAGCAGCCGCGACTGGCGGAGCAGGGCGGCGAGTTCCGGCAACGTTGTCGGGGGCGCGAGCGTCGCCCAGCCGCCGCTCGTCGCGACGATCGTCTCGGCCCAAGCGCGTTCGTGCTGGCCGCCCCAGACCACGATTGACGGCAGGCCGCGGCGCTGGCCGAGCCGCTGGGCGATCGCGCCGAAGCGTTCCATCTCCCAGAGCTTCGAGTCCCAGGTCGCGCCGCAGTTGATGACGGCGAACGCTTCGGTCGGCGCCCACTTGGCCACCGACTGTTCCGCGCCGGGTGTACGCGGCAGGTCCCAACGCACCGGCTCGTACGGCTTCGCGGCCGCTTCCATGCCAAGCGGCGCGAGTAACTCCAGGGTGCGATCGGTGAGGTGCGGGCGACGCGGCTCGACCAAGCGGTTGTTGAGCCAGGGGCTCAGCTCGCAGCCGTACTGCCCGCTGCAACCGATCCGCAGAGGCGCGCCGGAGAGCCAGCAGGCAAGCGCCGACTTAGTGATGCTCTGGCAATCGATCGCCACGTCGAAGCGCATCGGCTTCAGACGGCGACGTAGGGCGTGAACCGACTTGGGCGAGACGAACCAGCCCCGCGGCAAGACGATCGTCTCATCGATCGCGGGATGGCCCTGGATGAAGCGAGCCGACTTCTGCTCGACGGCCCAGACGATGTACGCACCGGGGAAACGGTCGCGCAGTCGGCAGACGACGGGCGTGGTGAGGATCGTGTCGCCGATCGCGCTCATGCGGGCGATCAGCACGCGCGGCCGCGACGGGTCGCGCGCCCAGGTGGCAGCGGGCGAGTTGGCCGCCGTCTGTGGGGCAGAAGTCCGCGTCATCCGTGACGCTCCGGGGTGCTAGCGGCGGGCGAGTCCTTCGCCCACGGAGCCGCATGCTACCGCCGATCGCCTGTTGGAGACAACAACAGTTGCGGCGCTAGCGTCGCTCGGGTCGGCGGAGCAATCCTTCGGCCCATGCCTCGAGTTGCTGGCGCCGGGTCGGCTCGTCTTCGGTAAGCAGAACCTTGGTTCCCGTTTTTCGACCGTCGTTGAGCGAGACGCCGTATAGCAACACGGGCTCTCGGGCGTTGGGCACTTGGGCGTTGGGAACGGCGCTCATGCGGTGTGTCTCGACGCGGAAGGTCCAGACCTGGACCCACCCGGGCCGCTCGACGGCCGCCAAATGCACGTCGCGGGTCTGCGAGGCATGGACGGCATAACCCGAACGCCGCAACTGCGCGCGGATGGCGTCAGAGAGGCTTTTGTCGCCAGTCCAGTCGCGCCAACGCTGCAAAAAGCCGTCGAACACTTGATCTACCTCGGTTTCGCGGCGTGGTGGCGGTCCTGCACGGTCGAGGGCATAATCTCCCTTCCCAACTCTACCCCGCACACGCCGCCGATCCTTCACCGCCGCATGCTCACCGCCAACGACCTGCTGTTTTCGTACCGCTGGGGCGTCGATACGTTCGCCAAGCTCGTTAGCGACGTGGCCGACAAGGACATGGCCCGCCAGCCGGTCGAGGGGATCAACCACCCGGCGTGGCTGCTGGGGCATGTCGGCACGTACCACGAGGTGATCGCGGCGCTGCTACGGGGCGAGGCGTTCGACAACCCTTGGGACTCGCCGTGCGGCAAGAACTCCACGCCCTCGTCGGACCGGTCGCTGTATCCGTCGAAGGAGCAACTGCTGAAGCGTCACGAGGCCGCCGCGGCGTTGGCCTGCCGGACCATCGAATCGGCAAAGCCGGAGGCATGGACGCGGCCGATGGACCACCCGACGTGGGGCAAACAGTTCGCAACGGTGGCGCCGGCGGTGGTGTTCTTGGCGACAACGCACCAGGCTCTGCACCTGGGTCAGTTGAGCGGCTGGCGCCGGGCGATGGGCCTGCCGCGTATCTGACGACCAACCTCACCGGGCGTACGCCTCCTCGACCCTGATGAAGTTATGTCGCTGATCGTTGGCATCGACCTGGGGACCACCAACTCGCTGTGCGCGTCGTTCCGCGACGGCACGCCGGAGCTCGTTGGTGTCCGCAACGGCCCAGAAAGGTTCAGAAAAATGCTGTTCAGGCCCTCACAATCGCGGTAGGGGTGGTGTGCGGTGAGTGGGAGATTCAGATTTTTCGGATTTCTCGGGCGCGTGTTCTCAGTGATGGCGTGACGCGAGGCCGGAAATCCTGCCTAGAATGAAGAATCCCGCGAGACTCTAACAGCCTCTCCCAATCGCCCTGACATGCTCCGATCGATCGTCATCGCATTTTTAGCTTCAGCAACTTCTTTGATCGACGTTCCGTCCGAATCGGCGCCGATCACGCTCGCGTTCGAGGCAGAGATTGTTCGTGTCTTCGACACCGTGCCGTTCGAGGCCGGCGTCTCATTCAAGATAGGCGACAAAGTCACCGGCCGGTTCACCTACGAGCCGGATGAGGTCGAGGGAGGCTCAGGGCCTTTTACTGCATTCGAGTCTCAACAGACTACGCGTGCCTTCGTCAACGTTGACGGTGTAGAATTCTCGACACCCGACGAGACGACCGGAATCAAGATACGGTCGTTCAACAACTCTAGTAGTACGCTATTTGGTGAAAACGATAGGATCGATATCGGCAGTCAGCTGGTATCTGGCGACCCATCCAACACGCCTAACGTCACCGGGGCTGGGCTTGCTATTTTTCTTCAAAGCACGGCGGAAGTCTTGCCGGGGGCGATCATCCCAGCTGAACCAGAGATCTGGAATCAGCTGATCAACTTTGATAGCCGACTACGGCTTACTCTACGCAACAACGACGGTGGGAGCGTCGGATTTACAGCTAACCTGGTTCCTGGGAGTTTTGTCGAAGTGCCGGAGCCAGCAGCAGTCTTCTCAATTTTAACAGCAGCTATTCTAAGTCTTCTTGGTGGACGCTGTACGCTTAGAGGTAAAGGTATCTGATCACTTCGACTAGTATCGCAACGGCTTGTTCTAAATAGGTAAACTCGCGAGACTCGGCCGCTTTGTGCTTCTTTACGAGGTGGTGGCTAGAAGAGTCTAAACTTGATCACAGGAAGGGAATCCAATGCCGAAAAAAGTGCTAAAGTATCGTCCGGTTACAAGTTTCGGCAGCCATATCGCACTAGAGGACTGAGATCGGAGAACTTAGAACACCGCTGTGTGATGGCGGTTGTGTGGGCTAACCAGTTCGTCAATGACAATGGTCCGCTCGATCCTAGTTTTGACGACGCATTCGCTGCCGACGAGCAAATAGCGCGCGAAATCGTCAATCGCGCCATCGCAGACTGGAACGCGATTCTCGACACGAACATTGATCAGGACAACAATCCGCTCACCGGACCTGATCTTCAGCTGACAATTACTGCAATCGATTTTGCGGCCCTAGCGGTTCCACAGCCGGGCGTACGCGGGGATGCCAGCATTGATTTTGTATTCACGAACGTAGCGGGAGCGGTGAATGGCTTGGTGCCGTCAGCTGCGACGCTCCGCCTCGACAACAACGGTGGCGGTATCGGTTGGTTCTTTGACCAAACGCCGCTAGACGACGCGGAATTCGTTGGTCTCGCCGACACCTTCCAAAGTAGTTTTATAGACGCCAGCGCTGGCGGCCAAGCGGCGCGCAACGACTTGTACCGCACGGTCCTCCACGAGATCGGTCACACGCTTGGCGCTCTGCTTGTTGGCAATCTTTCGTCGGGGAACTTTGCCGCCACGTTCTCCAATACGCCTGCCAACCCACAGAACTTTACGCCGAACGGGCCGGCCGTCCCTCTCCAGACGCAGGACAATCTGCTCGGTAATCTCCAGTATGTCGGACGAGATCAAGCTCTCAATGCAGCGGGCCTGAGAATCACGAACAACCCCGATGGCGTCATCAATGGCGACGAGACGGCTGTCGTCGACGAGTTATGGCAGTATGTGTTTCAGGACGGCTCTGGCCGGACCGTCACCTTCACCGAAAGCGGAGGCGGACACCTGTACGAAGGCCCAGTCAACGCGTTAACGCCTGGCGCCGACCAGCATCCGAATGACTTGATGAATGCCGGTCGCACCGTTCCGGCCGGGGGGCCTCCGCCAATCGAGACGACACGTCAGTTCATATCCGACACGACGGCGGAGTTCCTCGCCGATGCTTACGGGTATAACCTGCTGAGCCTACCGAGCACGCTCAACACCGCTCACGCCTCGCTCGATCCCATCGGCGGCACCCTGCTGGTGCAGGGTTCGCCCCGCAACGGCGCCGGCGCCGGTCTGAACGACGTGATCAATATCACGATCATGGGTGATCAGGTCCGCGTGCAAGTCAACACGCCGACGCTCAACACCACCGAAGCGTTTCCTTTGGCGGCAGTCACCAAGCTTGTTATCGCCGGCCACGGCGGCGCCGACACCATCACGGTCGATGCGGCGCTGCAGTCCCTCCGGCAGGATGTCGAGTACGTTGTTAGCAGCAACGAGGACGATATCGAAGACGCGGGCAGCCTCGCGGGGGGCGTCCTCGGCGACGGCGTCGTCGATCTCAACGACGTGATCCCCGGCAGCCAAACCACCCTCCGCGCCGCGATTCTCGACGCGAACAGCGCAGGAGCGCCAGCGCGAATCTACCTTCCTCCGAACCCCGGCAATTATGTCCTCACGCGCACCGGCGTCGGGACCGACACCGCAGCGATCAACGACCTGGACATCACGGGCGACGTGACGATCGTCGGCGCCGGGGCGGGGCTGAGCATTATCGACGCGGGCGGGCAGACCGGCCTGGGCGACCGCGTCTTCGACATTACCACGGGCTCGCTATGGGCATCCGGGATTACGGTTACCGGAGGCTGGGCGGCAGGCGGCGGCGGTGGGGGATTACGGGTACTCAACGGCGGCGAACTCATTCTTACCGACAGCGCGGTTATCGGGAACACCGCGGTCAATGATGGCGGTGGAGGTCTCCTCCGCCTTCAAAACGGAGAGGCAAGGGTCGAGCGGAGCGTGTTCGTCGCTAACGACGCCGATAATTTTGGCGGGGCGATCCGCGACTTCAGCATCGATGGAACGCTGTTGGTAGGCAGTACGATTTTTGCAGAGAACACCGGCGGAATGGGGGGCGACACGTTCTATCAATCGACCGGAGCCCACCCGGAAAACCTCGGCTACAACCTGGTCGATGACACAACGGATGATGGCGGCTTTTTCTCGACGGCGGCGGGCGACTACATCGGGACTGTCACCCGCGTCGTGACCTCGGTCGCGGATACGGTTCGGGGCGTCGCGGACTCGGCCACGATCGGTTTGCGAGACGCGGTCCTCGAAGCCAACCAAGGGAGCGGAATCGTCTGGCTGCCCGCATGGGACCACCGCCTTTCGCTGTCAGGCCAAGGGGCGGACACCGCGGCGATCAGCGACCTGGACATCACGGGCGACTTGACACTGGTGGGCGCCGGGGCCGGTTTAAGCGTTATCGATGCCGGGGGCGAGCACGGTCTGGGGGATCGGGTGTTCGATGTCGGGGTGGGCGGGTCATTGCACGCCTCGCGGCTGACCATCGCCGGCGGTTGGGCGCCGAGCGGCGGGGGCGGGGGCGTCCGTGTCAACAATACGGGCGAGCTTACACTAACCGAAGTGGCGGTCGTCAATAATACAGCTATCGGCGACAGCGGCGGCGGAGTTCTCCGGCTCTTCAATGCCGACGCGACTATCGAGAAGAGTGTGTTCGTGAACAACCATGCGTCCAACCGCGGCGGTGCGATTCGCGACTTCAATGTCTCCGGCACGCTGTCGGTGGCTTCCACGGTTTTTGTGGGTAACTCGGCCGTCTTGGGTGAACCGACGTTCTTCAAATCCGATGGCGCGCAACCTGTCAACGGAGGGGGCAACCTTGTCGATGACGCTTCCGGGGACGGCGGTTTCTTCGCCAACGACCACGTCGGCGCCGTTGACTATGTCGTGACGAGTGTGGCTGATATGTTCGATCTAACTCCCGACGCATCACGTTTGTCGGTGCGAGAAGCGGTTGATCTCGCGAACTCAGATTTGAACTCGCTGGAAGAAATCTGGCTCCCGGCTTGGAACTTCGTGCTTTCTCGGGACCGCGGCACGAATGCAACCGACACCGAGACCAGCTACGGTGACCTCGATATCAAGGGTCGCTTGGTGGTCCGAGGGGTCGCCAGTGAGACCTCGCTTACTTGGCGTCCCGACATCACCGACGCCGTGTTTGACTTGCTGGGCGATTACAACGGCGATGGCCTGGCGAACGGCACGGACAACGGGACTGTGGATACCGGGGACTACAGCGTTTGGCGAGACACCCTCGGTTCGACAACCGATCTACGAGCGGACGGCAATGACGACGGCGTCATCGACCAAGACGACTACGATGTTTGGGCCGACTACTACGGTAATACGCTGGTCCTCGATGGAGTCGGCGTCGTCGTGTGACTCATGTCTTAGAAACATGCACAGCTATTTGAGCCCCGCTGAAGATGACTCAGCGGGGCTTTTCTATTGAAGCAGCACCTCAAGTTAATGA